AATTCTCAAGAGACTGTTTCTCCCTAATTCCTCAAAAGAGAAAAGGCACACCGAAGAGAGCCAGGGAGGGAGAACTGGGTGCTGGAAAAGAATCCTGCAGAGTTAGTGAATTAATGCTCATGAAACTGGAGAACCATCCTACCAGCAAAAGGCCATCAGACAAATAATATAGATGCTGAAATAGTCTCAATAGGTAGAGACGGAAGTTGCTCTATTCTCTTTAATGTTTTTCTAGGTTTCTTGGTCATCTTGTGATCTGCACATTCAGGAAGAATTGTCTAAGATAAAATTAAGTACCATCAGGCGGTCTCGCTCTTCTGGAATGGGTTTTGTACTCATCTGTAATAGCGCTAATTGAATAGATGGCTTCAACTGGAACTTAATAAGTCTTCCTTCTTAATTTAGATTATATCTGACAAACCAATCTTCCTTGGTTAGATTTGAAATTATTCCTAATGTAGCTAAATGATAGCCAGTGAAATCAGATTTATCTTCCCTGAGAGGATAGGGAGGAGATTATCAATATATCTGAAGTTCAAAGGCAGAAACTTGACTCCTAGTTCTCCCCCCTTTTTGGAGAATTTCCACCAATGTGAGGCTCTGGACAGCATTCATTTGAGTGGGATATGGGGGATGGGGCTAGTAAGAGTTCTTCCTTGTCCGCCATGAGGACGGTGAAGCTGCAGACGGTGATGATACGTCTGCTGTTGGACTAGCTATGTCTGCCTCTCCTTGATAGGCTTCCCAGAGTGGGGCAGGCCAAGCTCCCTCATACAGTTGCTCCTTTCAGTGCTGAGCTCATTTGGTTGGTCCTGGTGGGAGATGCTTATAAAGGGAACTGCAGCATGCTGGGAAAATCTTTTCCTTTTTGGACCGGACAGATCTGGCTGCGTTCCAGCTCTGCCACATGTCGTCTGACCTCAGGCTAACTGTTTAATCTCTGTAAATTTAACATTTCTTTCTGATGATCAAGTAAAAGGATGCTTCACAAGGTTTCAGGGAGGATTTGAAATAAAGATATAAATAAGGCCTATAGAAAGAGACTGTGTCAGCAAAGCAAGGAGACGGATTCTCTTCTACAGTGTTGCTCGTGTAGAGAGCATCCTCTGGTGTTTGTTGAATGAATACGGTTAGGATTCAACTAATAGTAATGTCTCTCATTGCTACGTGGTGGTGCTGTGCACAAGAGGAACCAAAAAAAAAACCCTTTGTTTAATGTATTGCAGTCTTCATCCCTTGAAAATGTACATGCGTACACATTTATTGCACAAAAGCAAAGAAATCTAGAGTTTGAAATGTGTCATAACTTATAGAAATGTGTATTATGACAGTCTATATTTTTCAAAGGAATCTTGTAGCTCACTCTTAACCGTCTCTCTGAAAGTGAAATAGGGGAATAAAAAAGACTTGGTAGTATCATACAGACAGAGCTTGGAGAAGACAGGGGCATGGACATATCGGTGAGAACAGACCTTCTCATTAGGCTGTAAAACTCTCTCACTCAGAGGTTCAATTATCAGGCAAAAAGTTAGTCCTCCTTCCTTGAGATATGATGAGAACGTTTGGGGAATGAAATGTGTTACCATAAAGTTGTGTGTGTTTGTGTGTGTGCTCACTATTGGAAAAAAGTGGAAAAGAGAAACACGCAATCAGGATCTATCTTGGAGAATAACAATAAACATCATAAGAGAAAACAGTATCAGCTCCAGGTCTTCCACAGTTGGCAGCTCTGTTTCTTCATCTTTTGCTAGTTTTCTAGAAGGCCACTGAATTTTCTCTACACACTTGCTCTTTCTTGGAGAGCCTGGATGTTCCTTCTCTGCTTCCTCCCTCCTCTCTAACTTCCTTCATTCTGTTTTCTCTGCCAGTTTACCAGAGTCACGCTTCTATGGACAGTCCATCTAGCACACTGTCACTTTTGACCCTTCCTACTGCGTGCATAGGTACACTTTCTTCCTGATTATGGAATTTCTCACAAATTATATTATTTTTTATATACAGTTCTTAAAACAACGGTACTATAATGATATGGTTATATAAATTTCATAAAAATATCTCATTCAAATTTTGCTGATAAAAAAAGTCCCATCTCATCGAATTCTTAGAGAATTTTCTGGTAGAATAGTTCATTTAAATTTCACTTAATAATAACCTACTACATGCCTCAAATTTGTTACAAGAGTAGAGTTTTCTACACATACACACACACTCACATACACACATACACTCACACACACACTCGCACACTCACTCATACACACTCTCATACACACTCACTCACACTCACACACACACTCACATACATTCACACACACACACACACACACACACACTCACACACCAAAACCAAAACCAAAAATAAACAAAAGCCACCAGCAGTAACAAGAATGGGATGCAAAAGGCAACATTCTGCTTATTAACTTAGTTTAGCATTTCTACAATGGAGACACATTGTAAACTTAATGTGGCATTCTGTAAATATATAGAATTCTGATTTTATTTCCCAATAAAGATGTATTTACTGTAAAAGAGGACACTTTAGTCAATATACTCTTTGAATTGTTTTTTTCTTTTTTTCTGGGACCGGTGGTGCATGGACAGGCTCTCATATCTGGCTTGGAACTCACTGTGTAGATGAGTCTGGCTTCAGACTCATTGAGATCTTCCTGCCTCTGCCTCTGAAGTGTGGAGATCAAAGGCATGTGCCATTGTGGTCAACTGAGTTTGGTTAATATGGTGGTTTAAGTGGGAATGGCTTCTGTAGGCTCAGATACTTGAATGTTTGGTCCTGAGTTTGTAGGAACGTTTGGGAAGGAGTAGGAAAGGTGGCTTTGCTGGAGGAGGTGTGTCACTTTGAGGTGGACTTTGAGATTTCAAAAGCCAGTGTCACAGGGATGCTTGTTTCTAGTGTGCGGTAGATGATGTGGTGTGCTGTCAGGATGGAGACTCTCAACAGGAATCTGCTGAAAAAGGACAGGAGTGTGGAAACATCGTAGACAGAAGAAGCCACAGAAGCTGAGGGAAAACACGGACCCGTGCATGTCAGCCAAGACACAAAGGCCTCGGGTAGATAGAGGCAGGAGACTCAAGACCTTGCGGGGCTTGGGTTCCACTCTAGCTGTAAAGGAGTTGTTAAAAGGTGAAGCAGGAGCCCTTGATCTTGCTAGTGTTTTCAAATACCTTGATTATGAAGTAAAGGGCAGATTTAAGGGGACCGAAGAGAGAAAGCCAAGGGACTAGTTAGGAAGTAGTGCCAGTAGGATGTTACCTATGGAGAAACTTTGTATCAAGGATTCCTGAAAACTCAAGTTGTAGAAACTTTATCAAAATGTGTCCAGCCACCCGAGAACAAGAAAGAGGCTCATCCTATCTGTAACTGTCTGGATTGTTTATTTGTTTACGTCCTAGTTCCTGCTTTGTGTGTCTTTCCTACTGAAAACGGTGTTGATTGTAGGTAGTGAGCCTCACCATTGAGGACTGCTGATAGATACTTGCTAAATGAATTGATGAAGGAAAAGGCAAAAGAATGCCTGGCTTGAATGAGCTGCATGCTTAGACGCCTACTTCTGACGGCCTGGCTTGAGCGTGAGGTGCACACTGGAGAGACACATCTTAGTGTAATGGTCTCAGGCCTCAGATTCTTTTGCTCATATTTTTTGGTACATTCCCTTCTCTTGGGCTATTTTTAACTTCCACAAGCCTAGTCCCCAATTACTCCAGCACTGCTGGGTTATGAGGCCTCTCAGAACAACTCTAATTGGGTTTTAGGTGATGGACTTGAGAGGAATGGATAGTTGCTAGTTTTTTTTTTCTACACTAAAAGAAAATGGCCTTTCATGGAAGTCCCAAATGTGCCATTTCCCCAACAGTTGATGGTAATTCAAGCATCCATCTCTACCTGGTACCTCAGGTTCATTAAAGCCCAGAGTCAAGCCTAGAAAACTCTAGGCTCAGCCACTCCCAGAGAGAGAATGAAATGCAGGCCAGAGTCTTTCTTAGCCTACTTCCTCCTAGTTACCCTGAGATGTGCAACTCCAGTTTGACTTGTGGCAGCCAAGGACATTTGGCGAGAGTTCTCTGTGCCTCTTCCTTGACTTCAACATTTGACACCTCTTTCACAAAACACTTTAATGACTGAAATATGTAATCAGGTAACCCTTGGCATATTTCAGTGGGAATTCCAGCCCCTGCCACCAGGTTTAAAGGGTTGAGATAGATGAGGTTGTCCTTTCATTGTAGAGATGTTGGTAGAGAGAGGAGAGGGTCTCTGTGTACTCATCAGGGTTGTAGGACTTCAACTGGGAAATCCCAGGCTGGAGACCTCACTGTAGACCCCTACCCTTTGCTTATGGTGAGTCCTGCTTCTCTCCAGCTGGGTGAATATGACCACAAACTGGAAGGCTGGCATTTGTGCTCACAGCTCCAAACCCAGGACTTCTGTCTCATATGGTTTGTGAAATTCTGATACTTTTTTTGCCTTTAACTTTCATAGACAAAGGAACATTTCCTCCCAAAGGTTCATTAATGAAGGCTGTACAGTTGTCTTCAAAGGAAGTCTGAGGTGATGTTTTGATTATTTACCATTGAGCACATATAGCTCATATCTCATTGTACACAGCCGATGACAAAATTAGAAGTTTTGAGAGAGGACAGAATGGCGGTGTTGTAGAAATTTCAAACGTTGAGATGGAACATTCCTCCCAAATTGCTCTTACATGTGAGGGATTACTCGCCCATACTTAGAGCTCACTGAAACTCTCAGGGCAGCCAATAATTGTGTCGTGATTGAGTAGCTGTGAAGTACAGACTTACTTCTGTTCTCGGTGTCATTTTGTTGTTCACTTTCAATGAATGTGCAAATGGGGGGTTCAGCAGGGAAAGCTCACTGGCAGCATGGTAGAAGTTATAATCCACACCCGAATACCGTATCACTCCACTTTTTAGGTGGCGCCACCTATGCAATGTGCATACAGTAGGAGGCAAGCTATTAGTAGACATACCTTCGCCGACACCTGCATGCTGTTTTCCTGCATGTTCATAATGGCTTCAGAGATCTTGACGTCTATTGGGTCCATGACTGACTCAATGTTGAATGGCCCTTCCAGTCGCTCAGCTACCAAGAGCATTGCATCTGGTAAAAGACAAGAAGGATATTTATTTCAGGATAGGGTCCTCCAAGTTTTTAACTTCTATTTCAACATTTATAGAACACTGAAGGGGAAAAAAAAAGAACGTTTACTCCTAAGACCTTATGTGTTCAAGTGAAATGGGTGGTTAAATCTTAAAATCATAATATACTTTACTTCCCGTGAAGATTTAGGATGATCTTACACCCATGGAACCATGTCTGAAATATGAGAATGTCAGTGCACATGCAGAAAGTTGGACATACGTAATTCTACATGAAATCAACAGAATGCTTGGTTAGCCGTGAACTGCATTTCACGTCTGGGTTTTGATCTCCACTATAGACTGGATCTGAAATCTATAGTTTTATGTTTTAAACAACACGCTCCGTGGTGGTCTGACTGATAAAGGACCAAGAGCCTCCAGCATTTGAAGCCCTGGTCCCTAGATGGTTGCATTGAGAGGGAGGTGTGGCCTGAGAGGGAGGTGTGGCCTGAGAGGGAGGTGTTGCCTGGGAGGGAAGTGTTGCCTTGCTGGAGGAGATTAATCACTAGGGTTATATCCCCCAGCTTATGGAACTATTTTAAAGGCTGTGGAAGCTTCAGGATGCGAGGCCTGGGTAGTGGGAATGGGCATCCTGTAGAAACTCTGAGATCAGCTTCCGCTTCCGGCCCAAGTCCTCTGCTTATTGTCTGTATGATATTCCTGTAGCCGTGGACAAAGCTGCTCCCAGTAACATGTCTTCTCCACCTGAGATACCTCCAAAACCACAGGCTGAGACAAGTCCTTTCTCCCTAGGTTGCTTTTGTTGGGTATCTGCCCACAGTGATGGAGAAGAGGATAACACTTCTCTTCTTTGGGAAGATGGAGAAACAAGAATATTGAAGTGCTGTCTTGTAAACCTGGAGACACAGACATCAAGACCCAAAGAACACAGCCTTCGGTGTAAAGTACTTTTTCGATTTTAGAAGCTCTCTCATGTCCTTGCTTTGTGCTGACACTCTACCCAGAAAGCTTTTCCATTTAGGCTCTTCAATATTCTCTGGGAGGATAAAGGGGTTTTCTCTCACTTGGGTTGGAAGATTAAGGCAGATTCTGATGTATACCACATGATGTGCTCTCAAAAGTGCCTGGGGGGTTGCACTGAATTAAATTGAGCTGTATGTGGGCAGGGGAGCTAGTAATTGTGACACGGAGACACGAGTTATGTATTGGGGTCCATTCTTCCTGTTTGGACTATCTGGAAGACTACAGGTAAATGAGGTATATCAGGGTGACTGCCAAAATGAGTCAGGAGCTGCTGTGAAGGGGAAGGGGTCCAGACCAGTGTCACCCAACCCTGGCCCAGCCTCCATTCTTGGTAACCAGAGCATTCTTTGGCAATCCGCTTTCTACCTGGGGTGTGGAACAGAACGTTTCCCAGTGGTGAGAACGCGGCTGTGTGGGAAGAGCTGTGTTTAGCATGGTGAAGAACTAATGAGTTACAGATAATTTAAAAGAACCATTCTAGGCCAGCAGCTCTCATATTAAACTGCATAAGCTAGACTTAACTTATGCACCCAATAGGTCTCAAAATTTTCAGTTGCTTAAACTCTTAAAAATGAATCTTAAAAAAATTTCTCCCTTTCCAGAAAAATCTACATTTATTATCCAGTGCTCACAGAACACAGAAAAGGAAAACGAAGAAGACTAATATGCCCATAACCACACTTCCCAGAACAATACTGTGAGCACTGTGGTACATGCCCTATTTATTTTTGCTTTGTGCATGAATATTTTAAGCATGCAATGAAATATACTGTGCATATATCATATAATCTGCTTTTTAAATGTAATATATTATTAATGTAAAATGCTGTTTATAGTTAGCTGTTTTACAGTACTAATGTGAGGAAACCAAATTTTATTTTTACTGCATACTCAACCATGTTCACCCCAAGTCTAACAGCAAAACATTTTCAGGGTTATAAAGTAGCTATGAATTAGCGTGGTGAGAAACCTTTTAAGAGGATTTTTTAATATAAAAGATATAGAACTGTCTGGAAAGTAAAGATTCACGTTTTTAAAGAGCCCCAGGCTTTATAAACAGTACTAACACTTAGTTTAATCCAGTGTTCCTTCTGCCAGATCTCATACAAGAGTCCCCACTGTATTCCTTAGGGAATGAGGAAGAGTTAACCATTCAGGGCAGCATCAGAAGCACAAAAAAGACAGTGCCATGTCACCCAGTTCCACATTCCACCCCACATATTCCTCACAGGTGCATATGGACCCACAGACATGTTTGCATGAGTGACATCACATACAGAAGCCCTCCATTTTTTTCTTTGATATTTTTCTTCGTTAACACAGATTGATCTGTGTATGCTATGGATCTTTTTTTTTTTTAACAAAGCAGATATTTCACAAGATCTTAATAACCTAATTACCAATTAGACAGGAAGAAGATACACATTATTCCATCGTTGTAGATCGTTGTGAAATCCATTTTCTCCTTTGTGGGTTTGAGGGGCAGTTACATAGCTGAAAGCTGGTTGCTTCTTTTCTGTCTTTGTATCTGTTTGTGAGCTTATCAAAAAAATTCCTTATCACAAAACTTTGCAGCTGGGTTTCTGGTGAGGATTAACCGCTTGTGACAGTTGTAATTTAAAAGAGCCAGGAAATTCTGGTATGGGAAATGTATTGCAGCCACAGAGAGAGGAAAAAGATGTAATTAAAGAAAATGATAACTACGGGATACTTGTGTGCTTATATATGTACTTGCATGAATCATTATACATCATATATGTCAGTATCGGTCTTTCTCAATGTATGTTTTTACCATGAGTAGGTTGGGTTGTAAAGAAACAATTCTGCCCATAGAAAAGTCTACAAGGAAAAGGACACAATTCTGGATTGTACACCAAGAATTGAACATAGAGTCTGAAATGTCATAGACTAAGGTCTCTTTAAGATTTTATTTTATTCTTGGCCATGGATTTGAGAGAGAGAGTCAGGAGTACTTGTGGAAGGAGAAGGAAGAAAGAGAAGGGGGGGGAATGACTAAATTTAAATTTTAAAAAGTTTCTTCTTTTTTTTTAAGAATACAAATGGATAGTTTAATAAGCACCAATGAGATGCTTATTTACTTGTATTTACTATGTTGTAGAAGGTTACACATTTACTATTATTTCACAACTTTTATTTCACATTCTATGTTCTCTTTTCTGGTTTTGTTTTTTTATATGGATACAATGTCAGATGTACAGAAACATGATAAAATTACGAATTCTATAAAGATCACGTAATACAGTTTACTAGTATTTACCCATTGCTAATGCTTTTCCCACTTGCTTCATTGTTTGCTCACTATATCTGTCAACCTATTAATTTATTATCTACATATCCATATCTAATCATTGAGTTTTCATTGGATATTTTATTTATTTACATTTCAGATGTCATCCCCTTTCTCCATTTCCCCTCCCTAGAACCCCTTATCCCATTCCCCCTCCTCCTCTTTGCTTTTATACCATTTGAATTACATGCAACTATTCAGATCAGTTCTAGGTTGCGGGTCTAGCAATACAATAGATGCAAATAGTCAAGAACAAGCAAGACAATAAACACAAATAGTCAAAGAACGAGCAAGGCAATAAACAAAATTCCATGAACACTCCCGTGATCACTGTTTCTAAAGGCTTATCAGGATGGCCAAAATATCTGAGCTTACTTCCCTTGTCCTAGCCCAAGGTCATTTTCATGTCTGAAGCCTAGTTCCTTGTTCTAGCCTAAAATTTAGATTCCTGCCTGGAATTACTTCTTTTTTCTAGCCTAATGTCAGATTCCTGCCTGAAGCCTACTTCCTTGTCCTTGGCCAATGTCATATTTCTGCTAAGCAGCCCATTTCCTTGTCCTTGGCCCATGTCAGATTCTGGCCAAGCATCCCCAAAGGCTCTCCACCTCTCCCTCTTTTTTATTTCATTAAAAAGACTGAGCCTGTCTTAGGTCATTCTGACAAGTATGTCTTCCTTACCTATCATGGAATACGCATTATTAAAAGCAATGCATATCTGTCTTAGGTTGGTAAGGCTCTGTGCAGAATCTTACCCGTCCTTGGCTTGCCAGTCTGTTAATTTAACTCTGCCTGGGGGTCCATTTTCAAATTCAAGCCATGTACTTTGGCTGTCAACATGTTGATGTTGTTAAGGATAAGCTTTAACATGATGGGCAGGAATAAAAGTATTCCTAGGACAAAAAGGGGTAGCATAATCAACATATATATATATGTCATTCTTGAAGCTTGACCAAAATAGAAATACTGACCTCAGGTCATGAGTAATTTTATCAGGAGTAGCTACCTCATCAACATTCAGCAGAACAGCATTCTTGAAATTCATAAGCTCGCTATGTAAAGTTAAAATATCCAGAGAGGTGTTAGAAGTATTGACATAAAGCTTCTTTTGTAGACCTTCCAATATATAGGTCAGGGAAGACACTTTGGTATTTGTAGCATAAAACTGGGACATTCTTTGATGATGCCCACCCTTCTGTGACTTATTGTGTCAAGACCACAGATCCAGTTTTTATGTGCCTGGTCCTACAAACTCAATGATGAAACTGCAATGAACAGTCTTCATGGTGGGGTTCAAAGATGCTTCATGGTTAAGTATCTCTTCCTGAAGTTGATTCCTAGCACTCAGGACTGCTTATAACTCCAGCTCCAAGGGTTCTGAAACTTTCTCCTGGCCTCTTCTGTCCATACACATGGTGGGCCCATCCATGCATACATACACATGCACACACACACAGAGACACAAACATACACATATGCACATGTATACACATGTTTTTGGTGATCCACTCTCACAAAGTTTGCCTAGTGGCTTTGGAAATACAGTCCTATTGCTAAGCCATCATGATACAAACACTGAACCAAGTGTCTCTGTGTTTAGGTTGTTGGTCCTTCCATTTCTAATCTTTATATCAGTGTCTTTCCTTTGCTGTCCAAAATATAGTGAGATA